GATAGTTTGCACGTGAATTAAAAGCGTTTGCAGTGCTTTCTCATGTACTGACCAATTCCTGTGTTCACATGCTTTATATTGTTGTTGAAAGTAATGTTCACCCTCGCAAAATAAAGTATCCTATAAATTACAGGTCATGCTTCCAGAGGCTGAACTTCTCGTGGTCGTCGTTGGTTTTATAATAGCTCTTGCCTTGGCTTTTGGTATTGGTGCAAACGATGTTGCCAATTCCTTTGGAACCAGTGTTGGGTCGAAGGTGCTTTCTTTACGATCAGCCTGCATATTGGCAACAATTTTTGAGATTTCCGGGGCTGTTCTCCTTGGTGGCCAGGTTTCATCTACCATTCGAGGTGGAATTGTTAAATCAGACCTTTTTAATGAAACTAAAAATGGGGCAATTACTCTAATGTACGGTCAAGTTGCCTCGCTCGCAAGTACGCCCAATTAAACCAAATATTCTAGTGCCTATCGAAACACAGACACACTAACTAGGGCAATCTATTTATAGGTTCCTGTATCTGGATGCTCGTGGCAACATTCTTTAAACTGCCAGTCTCAGGGTCCCATAGTATTGTTGGAGCTACAGCTGGCTTTGGACTTGTTCTTTTCGGATTGAATGGCATTCATTGGATGGAAATTCTGCGCATTGGTACGTATTATATTTTTACAAAAGGTTCAAAAGCTTGTTCCTGTAATTGAACGGACCACAGTTTTTCTTCTTTAAGTTTATGCGAATCCATTAATCTTCGTAAGTTTTGTAATGCAACTCAGTCAATGGGGTTTTACATGCATGCTAAAATAGTTTGCCCGAATTTTTTCATGGTACGGCACCTTGTTCATTGGATGTATCTCTCTTTCTAGTTTTGTCATGGCTTGCTTCACCCGTTCTGAGTGGTATTGTGTCATCTCTTGTATTTTTTGTGTTAAAGAAGACCGTACTTACAAAGGTATGTTGAAAATTACTTAGAGGAGTGTGTTCAGTTAATTTTACTCATATTGTTTGAAGGGATCACTTTCAAAAATTTAAAGATCCAGGCAAGAGCACCAGCAAAGCGACTAGTGGGTATCTGTTGTTTAACATTTTAATGAGGTTCCTCATCGCACTTTTAAAGGCGTTTCAATAATGAAAATACCTCCGTAGTGTAAGTTGTGTACTCAAACCTGATGAAATACGCTATTTAGAACGATCCATCCCAGTCGCCTTAGGTTTAAGAACATAATTAGTAGCAATCCTTTTCGAAAGGAAGTTTGTAATGGCCCTATTCGATCTTTATGGTGAACATTGCTGTTTGCACAAGTTATATCTTCTAACAAATTAAGGTAGATCTGGTTTTAGTTATCCAAAAGTTGGCAATGTTTGTGGTTTTTCAAGGGTTGATTTATAAACCCAACTCGTGATGTTATATGACACACGTCTCCACATGCACTTTGTCCACGTACCAGGTTGTACAAATAAATTAAAGCGTCATTTAGTAAAGGCACGTGCAGTTTCGTAAGGACTAGTTATTGGTGCGTTTTGTGTATGTTTTCTAAGAATCAGCCATTGGAGCCGGCTTTATATACATTGCCATTCATCTACGGAATTATTGTGTTGATCAACCTCTTCTCTGTTCTCTCCAGTGGACTGAGTAGTAAGTTAGAGTT